TACCAAAATATAAAATTTCTTCAGAATTTTGATACGTACCTGGTATTTCTCGTGCCACCTCTTTGCATATCATGTGCTCCTGCTACCAAAATATAAAATTTCTTCAGAATTTTGATACGTACCTGGTATTTCTCCTGGTATGCCACCTCTTCGCACATCATGTTCTCGTAATTTCAAAATGTAAAATTTCCTCAGAATTTTGATACGTACCTGGGATTCCCCGTGGCACCTCTTCGATTTTTATTTGTTCCTGATACCAGGAGTAAAATAGGGCAGGATTTGGATATATGTGTACATGTGTAGAACTGCACATGTTTATTCTGTGAAGGTTGAATTTCGAAGTTCATAGGTGTAAGGAATTGTTAGGTAGTGTCAAATGGTGCCCGGATCTGTCTGGAAGTGTTAAAGGTGTCAGGAAATGTTAGAAAGTGTGAGGAGATGTTAGAAGGTGTTAGTACGTGTTTAAATGTGAGCCGAAATTTAGTTTTATTCACTGGTGATTAATACATTCTGAACGAAAAGTAAACGAAATGTTGGTGTCAGTCACTCGTAATCGACGCGGTCTGAACGATAAGTGGAGGAAAGTTAGTTGTCATGAAGTAGGCGCGATTTTGGCCCTATTAGATATCAGCCGAAGTTAGCCAGTTTGTTGGCCCGGGTGCTTTGTTTGCTGCAGTGGAGCCCCTGGTTTGCAGTAACCGATACTAGTCCGCTTGTTAGTTCGGTTGTCATCTGGTAGGTGCAGATGTGCGCCTGCTATGCGGCAACGTATACTAGCCTGTTTGTCTGTTCGGTTGTCACCTAGTACGCGTAGAGCTGCTCCTACTATGCGGCAACTTTTACTGGCCGATTTGTCGGTTTGGTTGCCATTTCATAGGGGCTGGATGCCCCTGTGTGGTGGCAATTTAAACTATTTGTTCTGTACATTCGGTTATCACACGGATAACTTTCGGTTACTTTGGACTATTCCGGAAACTGCTGCTAACAATAATGAATGAAGTTCTTGTCGGAAACCGGGGAATAGGGATGGGCGTTTAGCCATAGACTATAGACTCTATACAGATATCTAGCAGTCTCATGAATTCGCAATAGCAACGTAATATGGCGGACATATCTCCTCTCCGGGTTCAGCTATGACCGGTCCCTATATTGTTATATGCTTGGTTTTCCCGCATTCCGATGGAAAACGTTAATTGAGGAAATTCACGCACTTTTCCTTGACGTGTGTGCTCATATATGTGGCTGTTTAATTGATTTAATCGAGTTCTATTTTATCGACGTTTAAGCAGGAGCATATTTAGAAGGCGCGGAAGGATATATATATTATGTACACGATTTTCACACGGCTATACTATTTTTATTATACACAGAAAAACTATATGTTTATATACAGAATAAACTATATACACTTTTTTGTAAGATTTTTACAAGAAAACGACTTTATCTCTTTTACTGTCTTTGATGTTCTCTTTGCAAGCGCTATCCACCAACTGATTTTCTCCTTCGCTTTTCGGAAGAAGATAAAACTGTGAAAAAGGTGGCGTTAGGCGTTTCCTGGATTTTTCCCGCCTATCGGTGGAAGATGTCTTTATCGAAAAGCTACGCGCTTTTCTTTGAGTCTCGTGGAAGTAGAGGTCGCCACATATAAATGATTTGTGCCGACATCTATCAATGATAGTACGAATTATTTCACTACAAACTCGGGTACTTTCTCGGCGAGGGCGCTGGTTAGATTTCCCCAAATTAGTTTTTTGAGAATTGTGCACGGCAGTACAGATGCTCTGTATACAGTAATAAAATATTGATTCTCAAATGGAGAACAAATGATAACAAAATAATGAAAACTTGAAAACAATCTATCGTACAGTTGTTTTTATAAATACTTTTTGAAAATACCTTTCATTTGCGTACCATTACATTGTCGTATCCGCTTAAATTCATAATTAGTCGACAGTAATTCTCCTAATACCATGTGTCGGTACTTTTTCTACAGATTTTCTAAGAACAGTAAAAGTCTGTCATCAATATGGCTAATGAGTCCAGTGCGTCACGTCGTTTATAGGCGGCATATTATAATTTCTGTTTTTTAAGAGGAAATGGTCAGTACGAGGTCGAGACATTTAAGACGATTCTTCCGTCTATTTTGCCCGATCCTCCCAGTCCGACGGCAATGACATTAATGTCACACGACAGAGCGGACAGGATGTGGTTAATTCAGATCGGTCATCGTGTATGACTCCATTATATATGCGCGCGCGCGCGCTAGCACGACTCGGCTCGATGTGACGAAAAGAGGGAGGAGGTAACTATACTAATGGTACAGTGCTGTGAATTGTGCACACGAGTCGCCTCCAGTCAGTAAGGTCACACACACGAGGTCTGACCTTAGCCCCCAATTTGTTCCTCGACGATCGAGTCAAGGAAATCATTTTCGCAGCCTTCTTCGTCGGGATGGCTAACCAATGACTGGGTTATGCAGGTGGATTCCCTCTTAGCACTCGTACTTATTTGCCGCAAAGCGAGTCGTACTGGATGGAATTTTATCTTTGAGTAGCACGCGTTCAGCCAATTGTTTCCTAAAAAACGTATAAATTTGATTCCAACGAGTTTGTCTAAGTTGCGTGATATTCGATATATTTTATTCGTCTTTCCTTATGTATTTTCACGTATTAAACTATTATAGTATATTAATAGAAAATAATATATTATATATAATAATAATAAATATAATAGAAATAATAATTAATATATATATATTAAAGCTTAAATATCTGTAAATATCTGTAAATGCCTTAAATGTAACCCTTTTAAAATAGCTTGCCGGAATAATTAGCTGCACGGTAGCGAATGATCAGTTGGAAAATTAAACATGAACTAATTCAATATTAATCGTTTCTCATGTAAGCATTTTCGAGAAATGCGCACGGTTTATGTGCATGGTTTGTTTGTTAGGATAAAAAAAATTTTATTGTTTATACGTAATCGGTTACATACTTTGCACGGGTATACTTTATATACTTTTCGTTTTATACATATACTATATTTATTATTATTCTTTCATTTTTAGATGAAAATAGAATCTGATAATTTTTTCATTATTATTTGATAAAATGTTTAAAACAACAAAACATGATGTACTGTGCCAGACGAATATTTGATTTATAATATAAATACAACTTCAACCTACTGATATACGCGAGTTGCAGATCGCCTGCACCTACATCACGTGTCCTTTCATAAGTATGATCTATCGAATTCCATTGTCTTTTGGACATCAAAAAGAAGTCAAACCTAAGAATAACAATTGAATGCACAATAGGCAATTCCGTCTCTATATTTGTATCTCTATTTAGTTGGAAGAATCTTTCCACTTCTAAAATCAAGTTTAGTAACTCTGACAGCCAGACATCCAACCCAATTCAACCGCAACACCGCCTCCACGCATTGAAATCTTCATACTCCCTCGTTTCAGCAACTACAAACCAGTTTAATCCAATTTCGCACCGAATAGAAGCCCGAGGAACTCACCATACAGGCGTGGCGTACTCCAAAATAAAAAAAAAAAACATTAAAAATCACGGGTGTCGCCACGTTAGTCAGAAGCGTCGCGAGGAAGGTCGTTCTAAAAAAAATAGATTCGCCGGTGCCTATTTTCGAAGGTCGATTGCGACAGACGCTCCTAGGAAAATTCCCGTGAAAGTGGCCTGCGTTTTCGACGCAGACACCATGGTCTCCAACACGCAAAGGGGACACCAGCCACACTATCGTTTGTCCCGTGCACGTGCACGGACAGACACGTCATGGCGGTGGACGGTTTCACGACGATGGTGGGGACCTAAGGAGGGGCAGCGGGTTAGAGAAAGCGAGATGAAAAAAACGGTAAAGAACGAGACGGAGAAGAAGCCTGCACGAACACGAACGAAACGTGCTTAGTCAATCTGGTGGCGCTGAACAACCATCTGTCGGAGCGGAGAAGTTGCCAGCCGACCTCGAGGAACTCACGGTTTCGGTGCCAGCGAACCTGCGGCGCCGTTTACACGCGTTCCGTTGTTTTCGTGCTCGTCGTTGACTTGCATTTCGCGTGTTTATCTGCTTACTTGGCCGTGCTAACCGATATAATATACGTGAACAGTGTCGTAGATTTGTAACACATTGAGGTACAAAGAAAGAGATCGTTTACACAGCGACGCGATGGTCAGCAAGGATTTGAAGATGATGGCCCAGGAGGCTAACCCCTACCTGAAACCGCCGAGCATGTCGACGAGCCAGTCTTTGAAGACTTTTATTTACAACAGCGAGACCGGTGCCGTTATGGGAAGAACAGCCAGTAGCTGGGGTAAGTCGTGCAATTTCCATGTAAACAAGACGAAACCAGTGTGGAATTTATGATGGCCGTTCGGGCTACACCTTCGTTATGACTGTTTCCCCCGTTTCCGCGCGGTATCCTCGATCGATACCACCGATCGATACGCAGAACGGTGATTCGTGAAGGTTGTGCCTCTGGCGAATGTTTGGCATCGGATCTGGAGTTATCGAAGAACGATAATTAGATTTTATGCATTTATGGTGTACATAAATGTAATGAATTCATGTTAAACGTAACCAGAAGGTGTGTGTATTTATACAAAATGAAATAATGTTATTATAGTAATTGTAGAATATATTCAACATATATTACGTATATTATTTGTATGTTTTCTATATCACAGTACGTCATAAATACATAAAATCTGATGTTATCGAATAATAATAATTAGACTGTGGATGGTGTGTATTTATGATGTAAAATAATGTAATAAGTACATGGTAAATATAATCAAAAGGTGT